TATTTAGGGTGATTTTAAAAATAATTTTAAATAGAGACACAGCTTCTAATATTCGGTTTTTTAATCTGGTTTTACAGGGGTTTGTATTTTTATGCTTTGTATTTGTACTGTTTTTAATACGCTGTGCACCGCCCTGAGTCCTGCGGGAGAAGGGCGGTATATAAATTAAATTAATAATAATAATAATAATAATAATATTAGTCTCACTTTAGAAATCATTTTTGAACGGGGTTCAACACTCTGCTTTTCTGTCTCTTTGCATCTGGACATATGCCACTAAATTAGCACAGGGCATTAATTTTATTGCCGGGTAATTTATTTAATCAGTAAAAAGGTTGCAGTTGTTTTTGTAAATTTGTTTGCTCTGGCAATCTATCTCTTTATGAAAGAGAGCGGAATTTAGCCGTCGTGGCAAATAAATAGTTCACTGAATGTTTGGTGCCGATAGTTTTCCATCATGATGTAAAACTTCACTGGGGCCTAAAAAGGTAATAAAATCTAAGACGTGTTGCCATTTTATGTTTTGTTTTCATAATGGGACAAGTTTACTTGTTCAAATCCATAGCAAGACAGATCTAAATCTTATTATGGTAACCTAACAGTAAGATGTGCTGTCAACGCTGCAAATACTGTATATTCTTGCTTTGACAATGTGCAGAACTGTCTGGTATATATATATAGTTAAACCAGCAACTGGGAAAGAGGGAGGAGCATAAGGATAACCCGGGAGAAAGAAACCGGAAGTAAATCACATCTTCCAAGTTGATTGGAAGATGTGAACCATGACCTTACAATAAGGGAGTGGGAAATGCTTGGAATGTTATGCGTAACGGAACAGAAGCAGCCCTAAGCATTTCCACCATGCTGTGCTGACGTATTGTAATCTTAATAAATGCTTTTAGGAGACAACATGCCTGAAAGTCCTTTTAAGTGTTTCGTTACTCAGACACACGACATGTGCAGCATCTGAAGCCGGATATAATTAATTCCTTTCCTTTTTACTTTTTGTAGCCTTTTCGTTGTGCTCACTGCCATTATTCCTGCAACATATCCGGTTCCCTCAAAAGACACTATAACCGGAAACATCCCAGTGAAGAGTACGTTAATGCAGGCTCTGGTGAATTTGCAGCTGAAGCCCTTCTCCAGCAAGGTAATCTGTCTTTTTTGAAAGCACAGACTTCCCTTTCCATTAACCTGTAGTTACTTTTCTCACAAAGAGAATATTTTGCAGTTGTTGCCTTAGTTAGTTTTTCCTCTGATAAATGATGGCTTTCCTTCTCCTTCCCTCTCTGTGGAATGACTTTGAGCATCATCTCCAAGAAAGAAAAATGGTTTAAGTTGAAACTGATAAAAAACATGAATGAGAATTCTAATATGATGTTACAACTAATATTGTAACAATTCTAATATGATGTTACGACTATTGCAACGCTCTCTACATGGGGCTCCCCTTGAGGTGCACCTGGAGGCTCCAGCTAGTTCAGAATGCGGCCGCACGGGGGATTTTGGGGGCCTCTAGATATTCCCATGTAACACCTCTCCTGCGCGAGCTGCACTGGCTGCCGGTGGCCTTCCGGGTGCGCTTCAAGGTGTTAGTAACAACTTTTAAAGCACTCCATGGCAATGGACCTAGGTATTTGCAAGACCGCCTCCTACCAAACACCTCCCTTCGACCAGTCCGCTCCCACAGAGAGGGCCTCCTTAGGGTACCGACGGCCAGTCAGTGCCGGCTGGCGACCCCCAGGGGGAGAGCCTTCTCTGTGGCAGCTCCTGCCCTCTGGAATGACCTACCCCCCCGACCTACGTACAACTACGGACCTGCGCCTCTTCCGCCGACCCTTGAAAACCCATCTATTCCATGCGGCCGGCCTGGCATAGTTTTGATTGGGCTTTGCTAGGGGTTTTATATGGGGTATTTTAGAGCAGGCTTTTTATTCAATATTTATTGTGATTTTTATTATTGCCTGTTCACCGCCCTGAGTCCCATAAGGGAGATAGGGCGGTATATAAATTTAAATAATAAATAAATAAATAAATAAATAAATAAATAAATAAAATGTTGTTCTTCACCGGGGGAAAAATAAGCCAAGTTTATTTCTGTGTGTCATATGAAACATCTGAAAGGAGCAACATTCTAATTGGCCATATATGGGTTGGGTTGGGTTGAGTTGAGTTAAGCTAGGCTGGGCTGGGTTGGGTTGGGTCAGTTACGCTGAGTTGGGTTGGATGAGTTGGCTTGGTTGGGTTGAGTTGAGTTGGGTTTGGTCCGGCATCTCCAAACCTGAACATGGAAATCAGCTTCCATCAATCTCTGGCCTGCGAATCTTACCAGCTTTGATTTCTGTTTATTTTCTATTTTTTAAGAGAATATATATATCAGTGATGGCAAACCTTTTAGAGACTGAGTGCCCAAACTGCAACCCAAAACCCACTTAGGCGTCGAGTGCCGGGTGGGTGTGGCCCATTGGGTGGGTGTGGCCAATTGGGTGGGCGTGGCTGTGGTGGTAACGGCAGACTGGGTGGGACTAAAAAGTTCAATCAATCAATTCCAACTTTGCAAGATCTTTTTTTTTCCGCAAGAAGTTGAAACTGACTGATTGAACCTTTTTTTTTTTTTTTTTTTTTTTT